CTTTACATAGGACAAGAGGTCATGCGTTAAAACTGGAAAAAAGACGATTTCGACTAAGGCAAAGGAAAGGTTTTTTTACTGTAAGAACAAAAAGGATATGGAATTTTCTGCCTGAACAAGTGGTTTTATCAGAGTACATACAGATGTTCAAATAGCAACTAGATGCATACTTTTAAAAATAGAATGTTCAAGGATATCATTTTTCAATGTAGGGTAATAGCTGCTTGATCCAAGGATAAATCTGACTGCCATTCTGGGGTCGAGAAGGAAATTTTTTTCTTAGTTTGTTGCAAATTTGGAAGTACTTCAAACTGGGTTTTTTTGCCTTCTTTTGGATCAACAGCAAAAAAAAATGTGAGGAAGGCTGAACTATATGGACGCAAGTCTCTTTTCAGCTATGTAACTATGTAATACATTCTAGGGAGTTTGATTGCCCACCCAAATTTAGTGAATAATTGTCTGACTTTAGTGAAGAAAGATCTAGGAAGCTGTATGGGCAGAGTTCGTAAGAGATATAGGATTTTAGGTAGAGTATTAAATTTTTAGGATGTTAATGCGGCACAGCCAGCCCAAATGTGGCTTGTTCCATGCCATGAGGTCTTTATCTATTGTAAGGAGGAGAGGTTCAAAATTGAGATTGTTTGTCTTAGTGAGGTCTCTTGGTAAATGGCTTTGTCGGCCCACTCAAAAGGGAATAAGCTATTTAGTAAGGTTTTGGACGGCTCCTCTATCTTTAGGGGGAGAATCTCACTTTTGGAGAAGTTACATTGGAAGTTGGATACCTTATTTTACCGAGAGATTTCTTCTACTAGAGGGGGTAGGGATGTAGATGGGGAAGTCGGTGTGAATAGCAGGTCATCAGCAAAAGCTGAGATCTTAAATTCATGTTGTTTAATCTGGAATCCCTCAATGTCCTCTCTCTCATATCCCCTGAAGGAAGGGTTCCATTGTTAGGATGAAAAGGAGTGGTGAGGGAGGGCACCCCTGTCTCATGCCATTCCGTATTGCCACTGGGTCCGAGAGTTGGCCATTAATTTTCAATTTGGCTGTGGGATTTGAGTAGATTGCATCCAGCCATGGCATCCAGTTAATGCTGAACCCCATAGACATTATTGTGTTCTTGAGTAGCAACCAATCTACCCTGTCGAAAGCCTTTGCGGCATCGACTGACAGCAGAAGGCTTTGATGGGGGAAAGTTTTTGACAGGTGTATGATGTTGACTAGTTTGGTGGTATTGTGTTTGGCTTCCCTTTCAGGTACAAAGCCCGCTTGGTCTGAATGAACCAGGAGTTGCAGGTGGAGGGGCAGTCTAGTTGTCAAGATTTTTGTTAATAGTTTTAGGTCAACGTTTATCAGGGATATTGGGCGGTAGCTGCCATAATTTGTAAAGGTCTTTCCCTGGTTTCGGTAATAATGTTATGTATGCCTCTAGAGCTGATGAGGGTAACGTTTGAGTCAACTTATGAAACTCTGTTAAAGTGAAGGAGCGTTTTTCCGGGGAATTTATGCCTCAAACATTAAGGTTTATGACTTGGAGGGTGGCCACCTAATTGGATTGGGGTTCCCTCCTCCAGCAGATCACAATCAAATGTGAATATAAGAAAAATCAAAATACAACTATATACAGATAAATTATGAAAAATATAACTGAAGTGTTATGTAATGTGTCCCTGACACTAAAGGGCGTTGGGTGAACCCTTGGTGGCTGTCTCCAGTCCCACTTGTTCAGTGGACTGAGAACCTCTCTATCACTGCAGGATAGGTTCAATACCTATAGAAAGGTAGGGGATGAGGGGATGTAAGGGTTTGTGTACAGGGTGTGAGGTGGGGTTGGTGTTAAAGAGAATAGATGGCATGTATCTATATGGTTGCAGGAACCATCTATTCCCAGTGAGAATCCCTATGCAACTCTTTCAGGAATGATTAAGGGCGAGGTTTGTTTGTAGTATATTGGAATATAAAAAAAAAAAAAAAAAAAAGAATATATAACTGAGGGTAACCATGTCAGAGCGCTTAGGAGGGGTGTAGTTGTCAATAAAATGGAATAGAAAGAGAAATTGAGATTGCACTGGTTGAGCCCTTTGATAGCCAATCTCCCCGTAAGTGATGCATTCCCAGGCAAGTATAAACACATACATAATACATATATCTTACGGATCACCAGTGCATCAAACACTGGGTCTCAGTTTCTCTGGCTTGAGTCATGAGACGTACACAGTATCTAGTGTCAAAATATACCGGTAAATTAGGGTAACCATGGTTGTGTACCCCCTCAGTAAGGTCCATCAAGTGTCCGTGATATGAGAGTGTGCATTCCTCTGGGTCTATCAACTGGTCGATGCGCTCGTCCATGTGGTCGTGTTCGGAATGTCCTCTGCTGCATCTGTCTGCCTTTTCTTTGCTTCCTGTTACCACCTCTGGCGTTGCAGGGGTTGTGGCCTTTCAGTTGTCAGAACTGTGAAGATGTTGGTAAGTCCACTGCCTGTTAAAAGACCAGCATGTCTTAAACAGTATGAATGGTATGTTGAGCATTCTTGTATGTGGCGCTTAAGGCAAAAGGGAAGCCCCACTGGTAGCGTATGTTTCTGTCCCTGAGCTGGTCTGTTATTGGTCTCCGTGCTCTTCTTGCTTGTAGTGTAAGCCAGGACAAGTCCGGATATATAGTGATAGGGACATTGTGGAACAATAGTGGCTGAGATGAGTTCAGTAGAGCTGCCAATATGTCTTTCTTGCAGTGGAAGTAATGGAGCATGCAAATTACGTCCCGTGCTTTGTCCGCCGACACTCTTCTAGGGCACAGGGTGCGATGGGCGCAGTTCAGTAGGATTGGGGAGTCTGGCGGTTTGTGTAAGATCAAGTTAAAAAGCTCTTTCATCATCAGTGGTATATCTTCCTAGTCGGTTTCAGGGAGCCCCCTAATCCTGAGGTTGTTTCGCCTCCCTCTATTATCTAGATCAGTGGTTCCCAACCCAGTTGTCAAGTACCACCTACCAGTCCAGTATTTAGGGATTACCCTGTTGTGTCTAAAGCGTTTTTTATTTTCTTTTTTTCTAAAAACACCTTAGACACAATTGGGTAATCCCTAAATCCTGGACTGGTATGGGGTACTTGACGACTGGGTTGGGAACCACTCATCTAGATCATTCATTGATCTTTGAATAGCTGTCAAATGAGTGTTTTATGCAACCACTGTGTCTTGTAGGGAGTGCAGTTGTGTGTAAATCACGACCCTGTCATCTTCCAGGGCACTCTCCCTATATCCCACGTGGCAAATGTCAGCCCGTATGGCATCTAATTTAGTTTGGAATGCTACCTCCAATTTTCCTAGCATGCTTGCCAGATCTTGTTTGGAGGCCATATTTCTCAGCATGTCTCTCACCTCCATGTCTACGTGGTGGCTGGAGGCCTCAGAAGCCCCGGGCTAGATGGTGGCGAGTCCGATTATGGTGATTCCGGTGCCATATTGGGGCCTAGCTGGCTGGCATGGAGGTCCACGTTGTCATGGAAATATTTTGTTAAAGCTCCAGGTCTTGCTGGGTGCTTGCTGTGTTGATGTGGACCTTTTAGTGTGTCCTATGATCACTGATTCCACCCGATTGCTACGGATTCCACACACAGGATAGCAGAGCTAAGCTAGTATGCGACCATTCAGCTCAGCGGTTAGCTCCACCCCCTATAGACCTAATTCTTTAACCATCATAGAGGATGAAGAACATTAAGAGAATGAATAACTGCAAATTCTGAGACAACTACTGGAGATTTCAGTTTCCATTTGCATATAAATTATGTGGACTTCAAGTGCTGGCATGTCATTTTAATTTGTAAAATCTGCCCTACTAAATATAGTAAAATCTTACCTTCATTCCAGTCTGCTGGTGCTGACTCTGCCCCTGATCTGCCTTCTTGGCTGACATCATCATAATCATTTGTGATTTTTTAAATTTTGAATTAATATTGAATAATCAAATATGGAATCATGGCCCAACATGCACATGTTAGCTGCAATGTGTAGTTGCTGTGTAGTTGGTCCTGGTTTTTGAACCTGTGGTACATGTATCCCAGGGGGTACGCCAAGAGTTTGCCAGCTGGCCACCTTAGGGCTCCCCAGGAGGCAGACGGCTATACCATAAGGCAAGGTAGGCACCTTCTAATGCGAATGGCAACTGCTTACTCTGCCCAAAAACAGCATTCTATGGGCAGCAGAAGCCAGGCAGAGAAGGAGCTGTGATCTCTGTTCTCATCCAACACTGCTCCCTCGCACAACCTGCAGTGATGCTGGGAGCCGAGTTACGACGTCACTTGGCCCGGCATGAATAAGCAGCGCCCAAAGGTAGGGAGGCTAGGTGGACTTAAAAATAATAAAATAATAATTTGTGGGTGTGTGAGAGAATGTGTGTGTGTCTATCCATGAGTGTCAAATCAGTGAGTGTGTCTGTCAGTGTGCATCAAATCAGTGAGAGTATGTCTATAAGTGTGTGTTAGTGTGCTCTGTGTGTAACTATTAAGTGCGGATTATATTTTAATTTTGTGATTTTTATATCTTAAATTAACAGTTCATACACTTTTCCTTACATACACAATATTACATTATGTCTTTTATTTTAAAAATATATTTTACTACCTTTAATCAGGCTTGTTCTCCAATATAGAATTACCTTAACTATCAAAATCTAGATGTTTAATTTGGAATTTAAATCAATAGAAATTACTTTCTTGAAGCAGGGGTATTTATCCCTAAAAAAAAATTGAGAAACATTGGTTTAGGTTACAGTTAGCTATGCCCACTTCAATAGATATGCTCAACGCTACTATAGAAAGATGTGGGAACATCAGGATTGGTGGATCCACTTCCTGTTTTCATACAAGCTCACTGCAGAACATGTGCATACTGAGGATTTCCAGCAAACAGAGAAACTTCAAGAGTGAGTTTGTTTTGTTTTTTCTATTCAGTCCAAAATATTAAAATATATTAACAAATTCAGATTTCAAAATAGAAATGTGTCAAATCCTCTTTAGTGATAAGTGATTTCAAAAGTGGTAGTAAATGGGTCATACATTCTAAAAATTCATAAAGGAGTACTTGCAGTACCATAACCATAATCATAGGAAAGGACCACAAACTGTTACTACAAAGTTGGAAGTTCCCAATTGTCTAAATGTCTTTGCATCATGTATTTAGATGATCAATCACTGAAACTTAGGGGCCTAGTCAAATCCTGAAAAACAGTCCCAGATAATTATTCCTACTTCACCTAACTTTGCGTATTTAGATGCGAAACTTGGGTACAGCTGCTCAGCCACGGAAAACCTTTTCATAAAACTCATAAGGTTCTTCTGCTGATGTTGACTCTCAGTCAATTTCGAGTTCTGTAGTTAGTGATGGAACCGGTGATATGTATGCGCTACGAGCTTTAGCACTCGGCACCTCCGCTCTGTGTGTGGTCTAGAATTTCATGGCTGGATTGTTGCTCCTCAAAGCTTCTTCACATAAATAATACAGTTGACTCAGGCAGACATTTTTCAAACTGACTTTGGACAAAGTCAACATTCTTATGATGGTTCCACATTAAAAGTTCTTGAACTCTTCAGCAAGACCCACTGTACTGTCAATGTTTGTCTATAGAGATTTCATGGGTGTGTGCTGGATTTTATGCTCCTCTTAGCAATGGGTGTGGCTGAAACACTTGTTGGAGTGTAATTTTGCCCATATATAGTCCAGAAGACCTAGTTCATCTGGTATCTCTAGCTGAAGGTCAGAAACTCCTTCCAGACAGCAGAGCATATCAGAGTCAGATTTCTATCTGAGTAACGGACATCAAAATATATTTATACATAATTTATTTTTTTCATATATAATTTAAAACACTCTTATTTTACCATGCTGTTGATACCAAATGTCAGATTGATAGCTTATGCCACCAGTTCTCACTCAACCCATGAAAAGCTTTTATATCATGGTCCAAGATATAAGCACAACTGTTCTATACAATAAAACATTTACGTTTACTACATCACAAAGGTGTGATTGATATAAATTAAAAATATTTAATATATGCACTCAAAATGCTGCATTTTAACAAAGCCAACTGTATAAGGCAAAAGGTATCTTTACAGATTACACTGGCAAGAAATTAACCATATTTGTGAATAAGTGGAACATCTCAGGTTATGAATGTGTACTCTAAACAAATATAAGAAAGGAAAAATTAACACTAAATTAGCAAGAAACAAAGCAAAAAAAATAAAAAATAATGGACCACTATCTAGCCCCCTGCCCTACTAAATATAGTAAAATCATACCTTCATTCCAGTCTGCTGGTGCTGGCTCTGCCCCTGATCTGCCTTCTTGGCTGACATCATAATTGATGATCTCAGCCAATCACAATGCTTCCCCATAGGGAAACATTGGATTTGCTGAGATTGTCAATTCTGATTATCTCAGCCAAGGAGGCGGGCTGAGGGTGGGGCCAAGCACTGCCTTGGCCAATCAACATCTCCTCATAGAGATGCATTGAATCAATGCATCTCAATGAGGAAAGTTCAGTGTCTCCATGCAAACGGAGACAATGAATGTCAGTGCAACACTCTGTGCAGCACTGCCCCATGAAGCACATTTGAAGGTGTCCCAAGTCTGTAATGTAAATACTGTCCTTTCTCTAAAAAGATAGTGTGTACAGCAAAAAGCCTGCAGGGACTGACTATACTCACTAGAACAACTACATTAAACTGCAGTTGTTCTGGTGACTATAGTGTCTCTATAATATGTCAGAGGGGTAAGCCAATAAAGAATTTTAAAAGGAAAGTTAGATGAGAAAATGAAAACAATCAAAACTTTTACTAAAAAGAAGGATAATGCCAAAACATTAAGAAATAGAATTGTTGGTCCATTTAAATCTAAAATGATTATGCACATCAGTAAGCATTTGCGATATATTTACATGTTGTGCTATTAAAATCAACAAACATATATAAAGATAACATTTAGTTTTTGTTGTAAAGCAAAATATATCAGGCTCTAATAGATAGTAAAACAAAGGGGGGAGAAGAGTCTGCGCTAAACCGGAGGAGCAGCAACCCTATAAGGGAATCCCTCAAGAAACCCTTGTAGAGACAATAAAATACAAAAAGGGGGGAAAGGGCTGCGCTAAAAAATAATCAATAGACAAAGTTCGTCTAAAAAATGGATAAAAACAGTCTCACTGATATGTGATGGTAGGGTAATATTCCTCAGGTGTTGATCCGTCCGTGTGGTGGCAGATAGTCCATATATGTGGAAATAAAAACAGATAAAGAGCTTCCAATGGTGAAATATAGTACGTTTAGATGTGATGTATAAATCAAGAGAAAAGTATTCCACTCACATTTGTTGGAGCTTGAACCAGCTCTAGGAGAAGAGGCACTTAGTGGTTTAATCCCCACTATCGGATATACTTTAGTGATGGGTCCGTCTGTCACAACTTTGGATTTCCTTGATGTAGGCTGGAACCTGCTCAGATGTGTGTAGTTCTATGGTGCTTGGGGAGATAGGTCCGCCTCTCCAGTTTGGAATAATGGGTATCCACGAAATATATAAAACAGTAGATAGTGCTCTCAGTATGAACAGTAAAAATATTTTAAGAAAATAAGTTATACTTACAAGAATAGAGCAGACAAATACTGCTCTATTACCACAGCGCTGGTGGAATTATCCCCACCTGAGGATTTCTTTGACAGGATACACTTCAGGGTTATGGTGTTTTAAGAAATAAAAATTAAAAATAAAAATTAAAAATAAAAATAAAAAGATATAGTATAAAAACAATATATGAAAGTGCCAGGAGTAGTTGAAATGTATAAAATACAATAAAAATAAGTATAAGATTGGTCCTCGTATAAAAGGCTAACCAAAAATAACTTTTATTGATTTAAAATACACTTTTTAAAACCATTTACGCGTTTCACCTATGAGGTTTTTTCAAAATGGTAAAAGAACAATACACCTGGCAGAGAACAGAATTTATAAGTTCATACAGAAATTGAATTTGGCGCCAAAATTTAGTGCACCAATCATATTCAAGGATTAAAACCGAACGAAAATTACAATAAGAAATGAGTAAAAGACCATATAAATACAAAGATCTAAGCCTGATTAGGCTTGGGTAATACTAATTTTATAAAAACGAAGCTTTTATAAAGTTTTATTTTAAGTTGGTCCCGATCACGTGATCGGGACGTGCCGCGCATGCGCGGACCGTCTGAATAGGCGGATCGCTTAGAGATGTAAACAGAGGGCTCGGTGGCCGGCATGGGAGCGCAATGCTCCATGGGAAATGGAGTCCTGCCGGTCATCGAGCTCTTAAGGACAGAAAACATAAGGGATTGGATTTTAAACAGTTTTACAGCATTCCAATAGAAGTATTTAGCAGAATCCATTTTACAATCTTACAGCATTCCAATAGAAGTATCTCTTTTTTTAATGTTCTTAATACTAACAATAGGGGTATAATTTTAACCCACGAGTTTAGTAGAGAACAAATAAACTTTTTAGATCTCAATATATTTATTAAAAACGGTAAAATTAATACAAAAACTTTTTTTTAAAAAGTATGTGTAAACACAGTGATTGACAAGAACAGCTGCCACTATAAACCATGGCTTGACAGTGTCCCGAAAAGTCAATTTCTCAGACTACGCAGAAATTGCACACAACTAGAAAATTTTGAAGAACAAGCTAATACTCTCAAAAACAAATTTATGGAGAAAGATTACCCAGAAAAAGCCCTTTTGGAGAATATCAATGAGGTAAAAAATAAAAATAGAGATGAGCTTTTAAAGTATAAGCTCAAAAGTAAAAACGACTCTATATCCCTCCCTATCATCTTTAATTTTAATAATAAGAGTAAAGAAATACAAAAGATTATCAGGAAACATTGGCACATTTTAGAACACGATGAAAAACTCTCCAAGATTATTCCAGAAAAACCTAGTGTAATTTTTAGAGGGGCTCCTAATTTTAAATCTATTCTAACCACCAATTTTACTAAAGAAACTAAATCTAATAACTCTGTATCCTTTTTTCCGCAATCTCTAGGCTTTTATAAATGCAAAAACTGTAATGTATGTAAAACCGCTGATCCTACAATGCCACCAAAAATAACAGAATTTACTTCAAACAAAACCAAAACCACTTTTAAAATAAAAGAATTTATAACATGTAACACCAAAAACGTTATCTATTTACTACAATGCCCGTGTGGTTTCCAATACGTTGGGATGACCACCAGATGTTTAAAAATCAGATTAGGTGAGCATTGTAGGAACATAAAAAATGGTTATTTAAACCACTCTTTATCCAAACATTTTTTAATCCACAACAAAGACCCAAAAATGTTAAAATATATGGGTATAAAAAAATGCTCATTACCTTGGAGAGGAGGAGATATAAAAAATATTTTAGGTAAAATTGAGATGGAGTGGGTTTATAAACTACAGACTTTAACACCTAATGGACTTAATGCAGATTTTGATCTGCATAATTTTTTATAACAATACCCACTTTTACTGTTTCATTTTTTATGGAATTCTTATCTTTTAAATTATTTTTAGTGCATTTATATTGCAGAGATTATATATTACATAATACATTTATATATCTGTATTTATATTTTCAGTATGTGTATTTTTAGCATTTGCAGCTTTATTATTATCCTGATTGTTAAATGGATTCTGCTAAATACTTCTATTGGAATGCTGTAAGATTGTAAAATGGATTCTGCTAAATACTTCTATTGGAATGCTGTAAAACTGTTTAAAATCCAATCCCTTATGTTTTCTGCCCTTAAGAGCTCGATGACCGGCAGGACTCCATTTCCCATGGAGCATTGCGCTCCCATGCCGGCCACCGAGCCCTCTGTTTACATCTCTAAGCGATCCGCCTATTCAGACGGTCCGCGCATGCGCGGCACGTCCCGATCACGTGATCGGGACCAACTTAAAATAAAACTTTCTAAAAGCTTCGTTTTTATAAAATTAGTATTACCCAAGCCTAATCAGGCTTAGATCTTTGTATTTATATGGTCTTTTACTCATTTCTTAATGTAATTTTCGTTCGGTTTTAATCATTGAATATGATTGGTGCACTAAATTTTGGCGCCAAATTCAATTACTGTATGAACTTATAAATTCTGTTCTCTGCCAGGTGTATTGTTCTTTTACCATTTTGAAAAAACCTCATAGGTGAAACGCGTAAATGGTTTTAAAAAGTGTATTTTAAATCAATAAAAGTTATTTTTGGTTAGCCTTTTATACGAGGACCAATCTTATACTTATTTTTATTGTATTTTATACATTTCAACTACTCCTGGCACTTTCATACATTGTTTTTATACTATATCTTTTTATTTTTTATTTTTATTTTTATTTTTATTTTTAATTTTTATTTCTTAAAACACCATAACCCTGAAGTGTATCCTGTCAAAAGAAATCCTCAGGTGGGGATAATTCCACCAGCGCTGTGGTAATAGAGCAGTATTTGTCTGCTCTATTCTTGTAAGTATAACTTATTTGCTTAAAATATTTTTACTGTTCATACTGAGAGCACTATCTACTGTTTTATATATTTCGTGGATACCCATTATTCCAAACTGGAGAGGCGGACCTATCTCCCCAAGCACCATAGAACTACACACATCTGAGCAGGTTCCAGCCTACATCAAGGAAATCCAAAGTTGTAAAAGACGGACCCATCACTAAAGTATATCCGATAGTGGGGATTAAACCACTAAGTGCCTCTTCTCCTAGAGCTGGTTCAAGCTCCAACAAATGTGAGTGGAATACTTTTCTCTTGATTTATACATCACACCTAAACGTACTATATTTCACCATTGGAAGCTCTTTATCTGTTTTTATTTCCACATATATGGACTATCTGCCACCACACGGACGGATCAACACCTGAGGAATATTACCCTACCATCACATATCAGTGAGACTGTTTTTATCCATTTTTTAGACGAACTTTGTCTATTGATTATTTTTTAGCGCAGCCCTTTCCCCCCTTTTTGTATTCTAATAGATAGTGTATACAATAATATTAAATATTAATAAGTGCTACCTGATCCAGTTAGAAATTTAAGTGACAGCTTAAGGTCATGAACAAATTCCTATTTGTAAGGAAAAATTACAAATTGCTATAGATTTGTTTTCCCTTTCTCATGTCAACAGCACTAGAGTTGTTTCAACATTTCATTCGAGCCAATGGATCATTTAACTTGTCAAGTTCATCCACTTTGGGAGGGTGATTGATGACATCTGAATGTTCTGAAATATTAGCTACAGTTACTGAGAAGGTAGAAACCATTTTGCTGGTCACACACTGGAAATCGACATGACGGCTTTTTCCTTCCTCCTTTTCCCAAGACAACTGAATAAAAGGACGTTGTACATAATTGTAGATAACCTCGGTTTTACCTCCAGGTCTCCATTTTACTTTTTCTTTATGTGTTGGGAAGCCTAGGAAAAAACATTACAAAAAATATTTATATCTATGGGCAGATGAGGTATTGACTTTTGATGATGATTTTTGAGACTGATAAACCATATGTGATGTTGATTTAGATTGAATCATATATATTAACTTATAATGTAATATTTCCTTGTTTTATCATTTAGTATATAATTTGTAAAATATTAAAGGGACACTATAGTCACCAGAACAACTGCAGCTTGTTGAATTTGTTCTGGTGAGTAGAATCATTACCTGCAGGCTTTTTGCTGTAAACACTGTCTTTTCAGAGAAAATGCAGTGTTTACATTACATCCTAGTGATAACTTCACTGGCCACTCCTCAGATAGCTGTTAAAAGATCCTTCCTGGATCATGGCAGCCTAAAATGCATCCTAACATTCAGTATCTCCTCCCTCTGCATGCAGACCCTGAACTTTCCTCATAAAGATTCATTGATTCAATTCATCTCTATAAGGAGATGATGATTGGCCAGCCTGGTTTGAATCATGCTGGCTCTCCCCCTGCTCTGCCTCTTTGTCAGTCTCAGCCAATCCTATGGGGAAGCATTGTGATTGGATCAGGCCACCACTTCTGATGATGTCAGCAGACTGCTTGTTTTTTTTTTGTTTGTTTTTTTGAGGCAAATAGCATGCAGAGTTACAGCTTCTGGCTTGAATAAAATGTTGCTATATTTATGGAGGCATGAG